TTCGCTCCTACCGTCTCAGATTCTGTTCGTAACCTTCTGGTCGCTTTTAATCCAGCTAATATCACAAATGAATTTTTTTATTTTTAGTTCCTCGGATTGTGGCATTGTTTCCCCGCAGTTTTCCAGATCATACACGCAACTAAATGTAATCGGTTCCCCTGAGTTGATGTTTTCCATAACTGGTTAATTTCAGATTCAAAGTTATATAGAGGCGAAGATGAAAACGTGTTGTGTGGTAATATGTGTTTAAAACTTTCATTTTCACACACACAACAAGAATGCCCAAATGAAGCCGTCCGGCTATATAGATCACCTCACGCATCTAGTTTCTCTACTGGCCGTAGATATTATTTACGCGCCCTGTTCACGTTTCGTTTACTTCTATGAAACATGTTCCTCTTCACCTTTCTCCGTTATCACTTCTTTTCACGTTCATCTCCCATCACACTTCTCCCCCTCGCACCTTTCTCTGTTATCACTGTGCACCCCCTCACATCACTTTAGGGTCTCGCTTCCCGTCACCTTCCTCATGTACACATATTTTCCCCTTCACCGTCCCTCGCGATCTTCTGTCCTGTTATTCGGTGAGGTGTAGTGTATGTATGTGCACTGCTGACGAACATGGCCAACCCGGCGCTGTATTTCATCCCTCTGTGTAGTGTCTTCTACGTGTAGAAACTGACCGGTGGTGCTTTGTCGTTGTGGTCGTCGTTCGGTGTTCGTCTGTCTGTCGTCGTGTGTTTGTCGTTGCGTCTGTTACATCCAGGTCGCGTGCATATCTGTGCAGAACGGGTACGTGGGCTTGTTCACTTTGGAATTTTATGGCTAGGCGCAGCAGGAGATAATGCATCGCACTACCACGAGACTGGCCTAGCATTTCGATTAAAAAGTCACACGTTCATTTCATCCGCATTCATTAAGCGGTTTATTCGTTATTCGTTTTTCTGCATTATTCGTTATTTGATCGATTTCGCATTTTTATCGGCTCTACGGCGAAAACGGTTCTCGTGTCGCTCAATCTAACGCCATCTATCGGCGAGACACGCTATTAACTGTCATCGTGTACAGCATTGTCGACTGGTAACGGTGTTTGCGTGTGAGTTCGCGCATGTTAATGTTGATGGAGCTCATCATGGGTTTCACGGCCTGTGCGCGGGTCGGGCGTATGCATGCATATCGATATGCGTAGATAGCGTATGCGTTTTCATCGACGTCGAATCGAAATTCGAACAAGAGAATGAGGGTTGCTCCGCAAGCCGCGTTGCCACGACTTCTAGGTCTTTGTCACGCTTCGTGAAAATACCACCACGATGGGTGTAAACGCTTAAACGGGGGGTGTTTTAACATGGATTGCATCAGCTGCTGGGTACTCTGAACTTTTACCTAATACGAGCAGGCAGCCATCTTGCACGCACTTACTCGACATTCCCCTACGTAAAAACCAGGAACACGTCCTACCAGTAGGTGGCGCAACCTGCTAAGCTGCAAGTTCCAATGGGGTAGTTCGTCTGATGGTCTGATGAGCGGTCACTGTCTCCTACAAAACTGTAACCGTATTGAAAATTATATGTGTAGGTAACCTGGTGGTATTTTTCATGAGGCTCGCCAAGGCTTTATAAACCGTATCAACAGATCCTGCTGATAACTTTCATTCTTTTGTTCATTGCATCGTTGGTTTTATATAACAAATGCCATATATATAATATATATATCGATGTGCTTGCGACATAGAATGCGTATCGTCGCTTATCCTATTGTGTGCAAGGCTTTAGCCACCCTAGCTCTACTTACACTATAACCTCCATTGCATTGTGTAATGCATTGAAGTCTATATAGAGAGCTATAATAATTCAATGTCATGTAGGCTGGCACCGTGCCTTGCCGAGGTTTGCTGGCTAAATCGTGTTCTCATAATGTGTCGAAGATGTGATAAAAATGTTGAATAACTATATATAAAGCTTAACCTCTGTTTGCGGTACACAGTAATTAAATTAAAATATTCGATTTTGGTATGATTGACAGGTTTTCGTTTCGTGTTATTAAATTTGAAATTTTGCCGTGTGACGAGAAGTAAAAGTGTGAAATCGGACCTGTAATTTTATTCTTAATTCCTTTCACGATAACATAAACTATATAGGTAGCTAGACATTGCCTACTGGTCTGAAAGCTTGTGATGATCCTTTGGTTTAAAACTGAAAGATCAAGTTAGCAAGTTGAATGAAATCTGCCAAAATCATCTGGAAATTATTCATAGATATCAAGCAGCCAACCTGACAAAGTGATCGGTCACACAGTTTGCATGACATTGAGAACTAGTTTCAACGTTTCAATATGTTTTCTTCTTAGATAGCGTTTCTATATAGCGTCGTCTACTTATAAAAACGTGAGCTGTCATAAGCTAGCGTTCTCTGTTAAACTTTCAAATGATAAAAACGCGAATTTATCGATTTTAGCCGTGACGCCGTAGCAATAACTGCGTAAAAGGCGTAAAATTGTACGATCTTAATTATTTTCGAGTTGTGTTTGTTTATTTCGTTTGATATCACCACGTAGTACACAGGGCGTAGACAGCTGTTGTTACTATATGATCTCGCAATGAAAAGAATCCTATAGTAACTAGAGCTAGTATGTAGTACTATAGAAGACCTATACATACGCCTCTGTCACAGACACTCACACTGTGAGGTCTCCGTGTGGTTTGTGCATTTCTGCACTGAACCTACTAGCCGTAGAAACCGCGTAACTGCTATACCGGCGAGATGGACATTGTACAAGTTTGTTTTCTAAGTATAATTTCAGATATTCATACAAAAAGCTCACGTCCTGCAGAGCATGACAAGGTCGCCAGTCCTTCCCACAACGCACTGCGCCAGCACCACGTTCACCATTGTCTGTCATTTGAATTAGATTATTACTGGAATGCCAATGGCCTTCGATATCAAATACATAGTAGTGTTAGGACACCAGAAGTTAACAAGGCTACACTGCACTGCACTGCCTTGTGTTATTGTACTAAGTGGAATTCGGGGGTACTGGGTTACTGTTATTGTAATGGGTTTATCAGAACAGTATATGAACTATATTATCATCATCAAGTCACGTTTGCAAACGACTGTAATTAATCGTACAACGTTACACAATCAACATGACGACAGGTTATATATATAGTTCATTTTGTTATAATTATTATAATTTTTTAAAATGTTTTTCGTTAATACGCCAGCAGGATCATTTAAGCTAATGATTTATTTAATTGTTTAATTTTATTTTAATTATCACCCTCGGGCGGGGGTTGCTTGCGGTGCAGTGTAAGGGGGGCGATGTGGCAAGCGGGCGTGGCGGCGGTGGTGGTGGTGGCGTCTACTGATGTGCTGCCGTGCTGACTGTTGCAGAATCGCGTACAGGCGCACTTCTACGACTTCGTGACGAACATGAAGTTTGAGGTGTTCATCATCACCTGCATCTTCATCAACATGATCTTCATGGCCATGGAGCATTACCAGCAACCACCTCAGGTGCGCGGACGCCACCAGCGTGTCGAACAGCTGCGAGAGAGCGGGGGACTGCAAGAGGGGGTGGGGGACTGCAAGAGGGATGGGGACTGCAAGAGGGGGTGGGGGACTGCAAGAGGGGGAAGGGAATGCAAGAGGGGGCGGGGGACTGCAAGAGGGGGGTGGGGAACTGCAAGATGGCGGGCAACTGCAAGAGGGGGTGGGGACTGCAAGATGGTGGGCAACTGCAAGAGGGGGTAGGGAATACAAGAGGAGGGAGGCGTCCGGATGGGGGTGGAGACTGCAGGAGTGGTGCGTCTGTAAGTGTCTGTAAGTCACACACCGTGTGATGCTGGCTTTACGCTGTTGCAGGTGCGGGACATGCTAGAGGTCGTCAACATCGTGTTTACTGTGATATTTACTGTGGAGTTTATTCTCAAGATCATCGGTCTTCGCTGGTACTACTTCGTCATTCCATGGAACGTGTTCGACTTCATTGTAGTTGTTGTGTCCTTGCTAGGTACGTTCAGTGATCAGCATACGGTGTTCGCTGCACTCATAGTAAAATAGTCAGTTCATCCTTGCGTTTTTTTTCCTGCTCATCTAACGTATTAAATTTATCAGTTACTCGGTCATAATGTTTAACGCCTCCAATCAGCTCTTATCACGTGTGTTAACTTATAGGGATATATATTTGAATGTACTCGACTTTTTTCTATAGTATGAATCGACAGAACGTAACACACGTTTTGAAATAAATTACAAGGTCCTGGTTGTGACAATATAGCAACAGAGTAACATAATAGAAACATCGTAACATATACAGTCGTGGCGATTGGCACTATAGTAGAAGCCATCATCGCAATGCTAGCAGAAGGTAATAGCAGTAGCAACACCAGTGGTAGCAGCAGGCAGCAGCAGTAACACTGACAAAAATTGTAGTTGATGACTATTGTGCTGCTGTGAAACTTGTTTACTATCATTTACTAATACTGACCTTCGTCTCATCTCTATGAAGAATTTACCGTACAGTCTTGACCTCTGTGACACGTTGCTGACCTGTGCCGTACACACACACACACGTTACTGACCTGTGGCGTACACACAGACACGTTACTGACCTGTGACATACACACAGACACGTTACTGACCTGTGACGTACACGCAGACACGTTACAGACCTGTGACGTACACACAGACACGTTACAGACCTGTGACGTACACGCAGACACGTTACTGACCTGTGACGTACACACAGACACGTTACTGACCTGTGACGTACACGCAGACACGTTACTGACCTGTGACGTACACACAGACACGTTGCTGACATGTGGCGTACACGCAGACACATTACTGACCTGTGACGTACACGCAGACACGTTACTGACCTGTGACGTACACACAGACACGTTGCTGACATGTGGCGTACACGCAGACACATTACTGACCTGTGTGTGGTACACACACACACACACACACACACACACACACACACACACACACACA